CTCACTTGGTAGCCCAGGCTGGCCTCGAACTCACAGAGATCCGCCTGGCTCTGCCTCCCGAGTGCTGGGATTAAAGGCGTGCGCCACCACCGCCCGGCGTAAAGTAAGATTCTTAATGTTGTTATTTCAATGGTTCCTTTGCCTTTCATAAGGAACTTTCATTTTATCTGAAAATAGAGTAGGCATAAAGTAAAATGAATACAAAACTCCCTCCAAAGCCTGAAAGATTGATTCTAGGTTCTTTTATGGATACCATAATACATAGATATCCATGTGTTTTATAACATATGATGTAGGGTTTGAATGTTATCTATGCAAATCTTCTCATATATTTTAAATGATCTCTAAGTCACTTACAATGCCTTTGAACAATATTAGTGCTATTTGAACATTTGTTATTTTATGTACTTTGGTGAACATCTTCATATACAAAAATATTGTTTAGAGAATAACAAGAAAATAGTGTGTACATATTCAATGCAGACACAATATTTTTCTTTTCTGGTTAGTTGAATCTGCACATGGAGAATATGAGGACAAGAATGGCTGCCTACATTTTATGTTTTCATTATATTTAATACTGTAAAATATGTCATTGCATACTGACCTCTTATTAGTCTTACACAGATATTCATTTTATATTCAGTTATTTATCTTGGAGAAGACTGAGATATAGCTATTAACAAGCAACCAGCTGAGCTTTTGTTCACTGTTATAAGTCACATAAGATGAATAGACTTCATTATTATCCATCAAAATGTTAACAGAGATAAGAGAAATGTGAGAAAATACAGAAAACTATGTTTATTATTGAACAGATATTTATTTGTCATGTAGTAGGGAAGTAGTGTATCCTCAGAAGAAAAAAAAATAGCTCAAGAAAATCTACTGTGGATAATTCAAAGATTAGTAATAAGACTAGTGTGGAAAGACTGAAGTGCTGGAAATGATTGAAAATGAATTCAGATAGTACAGACTAATCAGGTCATGCTTGTACATCACAATGAGTCCATTTCTTCGTGAAATGGGAAACCAGTGAAGGGTGTTCCTCTGAGGCATTACCTGGTCCAGAGTCTAGTACAATATGGATCCACTGCAACATTTTCTCGTGAATGTCCTTTGTCTTTATCTTCATGGGCAATATGTATTCTTGAGTCTCATAGCCTGACCTGTAATCAGCAACACCAGATATTGTCAGTTACTTGTCCAAATGAATTTCTCTATATCACTATCACTACCAGTACATGATTGCAAATGAAAGGAGTCAAAGTGTAAGAATTCTGTTGTCATTAAATAATTCTTTAGTATCTTTGAGTTTTGTCAGCTTTATTTGATCTTTTTTTTTTAAAAAAAGTAATTTTAGCTAGATGTTGTAGTTCTTTCCTGTAATTACATCAGTAGGGATCTGAGGTGGGATATCGTGCATATGAGGCCAGCCTGAAATACATAGTGAGAGCCCATTTCAAACAAACCACCACCAACAACAAAAAATAAAAACAAAATAAGGAAAGTACTTTGTACCAGGTTAGAAACAAATTTTGAGTTTTGGCCAAATGCATATAAGATAAATAAGTTATGAAACTCTATCATTTTGCCTGTCCATTCAGAAGCACTTATTCTGAATGTTACTGTTACATGATTTTAGATCATCTAAAAGCATGTTTAATGTACAGTCATGTAATTTAGGAGATACTGAGATAAAATGCTAATTTGGACCATAAATATGTACCTTTCTGGTGCATATTTGATGGTAAGTAAAAAGGAGGGATCAGTTAACGACTGGATTGTTTTCCTTAAGAGTCTGTTTCTTGCTGAGTGTTAAAAGCTTGAACTTCTCAATGAGGTTTCATTTTAAACACAAAGGTAGCATAAACCAGACAATGAAACAATTGGCATTTAAAATCAAGATCATCAATCCTTCCCCCCTCTCTTCAACAGTACTCCCTGAACTCTGCCCAAGAATTGTAGAAGCCAGAGAGGTCAAGATCATGATGGGGAAACCCACAGAGACAGCTGACCCAAGCTCATGGGAGCTCACAGACCCTAGAGCAATGGCTAGGGAGCCTGCATGAGACTGACCTAGACCCTCTGCGTGTGGGTGACAGTTGTGTAGCTTGGTCTGTTTGTGGTGCCCCTAGAAGTGGGAACAGGATTTGTCCCCTGCACATAAGCTGACTGTTTGGAACCTATTCTTTATGATGGGATGCCCCACTCAGCCTTGATGCAGGGGAGAGGAGCTTAGTCCTGCCTTGACTTGATATCCCATGCACTGTTGACTTCCATGGGAGGCCTTACCCTTTCTGAGGAGTGGATAGGGGGTATAGAAAGGTAGTGGTGGGAGGGAACAGGAGGAGAGGAGGTAGGGGAAACTGTTATCAGTATGTAAAATAAATTTAAAAAAAATGAATAATAAAAAGAATAAAATCAAGATCATACCTAAAAGCATGAAATTATTTCATTGACATTTTTAGTTTAGTATGAAAACAGTAAAGATGAACGTTGGGCCTGACAGAGTGTTTTTTTTTAAAGAATATTATTACATGAAAAGAAGATATGGACATCTAGTCACCATCAAATGTCTTGGAAAAAAAGTCAAAAAATTCTCTTTCCAAGTATCTATGTAAAAACTGTATCAAGTAAATAGTAGGAGTGGGACGTTTGTCAAGAAACAAGTGGAGTTGGCATTGTGAACAATTACAATGACCAAGTAGAAACAGAAGACAGGATTTAGTGTGACTATATCCCAGGCTGTAGTTGACCATTAAAAATATCACATTTATATAAGTAATACAAAAAACAAAGGTTTAGAGAACTTACATCAGCTGTTCAATCAGTGGTACATATAGCACACTTAGGAACTTTGGACAATATTTAGGTGTCTTTGATTGTCAAATTATTATTGCTACTGGGGTTGCTACTTGCTTCTGGTGGGTAAAAGTAGGCATGCTGACAGATATCCAACAATAAACAGAGAAGTCAATCAGAAAATATTTACCCACTTCTATGTATTAAGAGTGCCTAGATAGAAACAGTGATCTCAATGACTATTTTTATGTAAAAACACACAGAGAAATTTTATTTTCTAACATTGTTGAAGTCAAGATTAATAGTTGCAATGACTGCACACCCTGAGTAGATAATGTTGACATGTTAGAAGCATTTTGAGTTGCCATCCTAAGACAAAAGACAGGGAGAAAATGGTGACTGTCCATCATGGTGTACTATATAGTAGTTACAAGCATCAAGTTATAAAAACACATACTATACAAAAGCTTAAGCATTTATTAAAAGTAAGGAGGAAAGCAAACTCTTAAGATAATGTTTACAATTATAGCCATGACAACAATCAACACTTTATATATTGCATATATAAAGCAATACTATACATTAAAAAATAGCTGGTAAATCCTTGTTTGCTTGTCTTGATTGATTCGTTGATTTATTCTATTCCTTCCACAGTTCTCTACTTTCTGTTCTTAGAGGGTGACTATGAATTGAGATTGGTGATTGCTGCAATACTCATCTGATATCCAGAAATGCATGATGCTAAAATTATCAACTTTAAATAAGAATACTCAAAGTCATTACTGATGGTAGTTCAATAGAAATTTAATTATACACATCAACACTTATAGATGTTCTTTATTGTGGAAAGATATGAAGGAAATATTTTTCAGGCAGTAAATGCTTCTTAGATTACATAAATTTAGAACCCATATGGAAAGAATATCCAATGAGTTATACATGAAAGGCAGGAAGTGAATCAGGAATTATGCAAACCATTACATATTAGTGATCGGTCCATGATTAAGTCACACTTTCTGCTGAAAATTAGAAAGCTAAGAAACACAGACTATGTGCTAACTCACTTTAAAAAGGGGATCTACATCAAAATATGGATTAGCAAAGAATGAGTGGGGAGTGTAAATAATCTACCAGAAGCTGAGAGACTATTTAAAACACCTTATCTGAAGCCTAAAGAGAATCTGTGCCAAGGTCAAGAACACATGACCTTGAACAAAAACTTCTGATGACTAATGACAAAGCAAAAGAGAATGTGGAAGAGAGAAGGAGGGCAACATTGTTCAGTATTCTGAAGAGTGAATAAATATCAAAGCAAAACATGATCATTGATATCTTTTCTTCCCAGCAACTTGCATAGCACTTTCTTTCTCCATAAAAACTATCCAGAGGGGAAGAAGTTTCCTGGCCTGTTTGAGGCTGACACTTATATGCCCTGTACCCAAAGTGTGTGATGTCTTCAGCAAAATGTCTTACCAGGTAGTTATGGTTGATAACTAAGGGCAACAACAATAGCCTGTGTTGTTTACATGACCTCTGAGGTCTTCATGATCAGTAATTAGGGAGGTATCCCATTCCTTACAATTTGATTTTCATTAATAAACCAAGTCTTCTGTGAGCAGTATTATCCTCCCATGCAAGGTGATTCTTTTCACACTCTTCTTTAATTTTTACTTTTAAATTAGCTTATGAACTAATGGGTTTCCCTATGACTCTTCATACGTTTTAATTTTGGTTAACTCACTCACTCACTAGCCCCTCTTATTCCCTATTCCCCCATGTCCATCCAAGCCCCACTCAAACTTTATTCTTTATCCCAGAATATACCCCTGTTTTTCTTTTTATCACATTTATTCTATTACCACTCCAGTTCTACTTTAAACAACTTGTTCTGTGACTTAACAGGCTTCCACGTGGCTTTTCACTTACCCTTTCTTTGGGTTGGCTTCTCTTTCCATTTCCTCCATATGCTCATCCTCTTCCCCAAATGAGACTTTCCACCCTCAATATTTAAACCCTCTACTTTAATAGCATTTATAATCTTCTATGCCTTACCCTTCACATGCCCCTGCAAAGTCCATGTTCCAATTTTACTTCCATTGTGCTCCAAATTTAACATAAAAGATTTGAGGTTAAGAGTCACATATGAGAGAACATGGGACATTTATATTTCTGGGCTTGAGTTGTATTACTGTTTTTTCATTTATCTGTAAATTTCATGATTTTATTTTTTTTAAGCTGAGTGATATCCCATTGTAAATATGTACCACATTTTACTTCTCCAGGAATCTGCTAACAGACATCTAGGTTGATTCCATCCCCTAGCTACTGTGATTAAAGGAGCAGTGAATGTAGATGTGCAAGTATTTCTATAGTCAGATATAAAGCCCATTTATGGTATATCTGGGCTATATGACAATTTTGTTTTTTTCAGAAATGTCCAGACTAATGTACAAGTTGGTTGCACTAGTATATATTTTCATTAAAATGTATGAGTTCCCCTTCCACTTCATTGGTTGTCATTGATGTTCCTGATGATGGGCATTCTGATTGTTAAAAAATGGGATCCCAAAGTAGTTTTAATCTGTATTTCCTTGCTAGCTAAGGATTTTGAGTACTTTTTAAAAATAGAGTTTCCAAGCCATTCATAGGTTTTCTTTTGAGATTTTTGTTGCTGTTGTTCAATTGGATAACCAGTTTTATAACTGGGCTGTATTGAACCTCAGGAAACATAGAAGAGGCAGAAATAATGTAAGAGCCAGCTAATGGTAAGTAATGTAAAATGCAAATGTTTTCAGTTGATATTGGTATGAGTATCATACTCATAAACTCATACCAGCTGTGATGACCTACCCAAGACTAATTCAGCCAAAATCCCAGCATAGATGGAGAGATGCTCTCTTGGCCCTATTTGTCATTCAGGAACTACCAGTAATCAATAACTGATAGGATATGGAGAAATATTCTGATATTTGTTTTGTTACTTATATGTGGATACTGGTAGATTTCATATGCTCCACTAGATAGACCCATGCTCACACATATATGAGTAACATTAATTAGACTTAATAGGTTATCAAAAAGTGAAGAGGATATGTAGTTAGGAGGGAGCCATCATGGGTAGAATTGAAGGAGGTAAATCACTATAGATATGATCATGCTTCATTATATAATATAATAAATTCTCAAGAATAAAAAAAGCTAATATAAAACAACAATAAAGCAAAGCAAATATTTCTTATTAAGATAATGTAAGAGAGTTGGAACAATATATTTCACAACAACCAATCATTCTTCACTTCAATAATTGAAGTCAATCTTGACTTCAATAATTCTAGTTTTAAGTACTCAGACAATAAACTATATG